CATCGAGGCCCCCCCCCTTCCCCTTCATGTCCCACATCAGCCCCCCCCCCCATTTCAAGACTTTTCTAGATACGCCACTGGTTGAAAAGCTGTACAGTTAGTTGTGAGGCATGTGTATTCTGTGAGACCCATTGTCTGTTTAGTGCAACTCAAATCTACTCAGGATTTATACGTGTTTATACGTTTCAACTCCTTGTTCTTTTAAAGAACAATAATATTGTATTGTTAAATGCAAGTTAAAAAGGATATCATGTTATGTATTTATGTACTGAATGAAATTGGAAGATATTTGTCTCACAAAATCTAAAAAGTGAGTGTATCAGGCGAGACCAGGTGGTGTGATCAGCGACAACTTCTGAATTGAGAGAATTCTCTGATCGAACTTGGCCATGTGTCAACCTCACTGCATTATTATATGTAATTATCTACTCATATGTGTATTAATAATAATAAAATGCTTCTGAAATTTACAGTATACGTGATGGCGAATTGTGTGAGATTCTTGCACGACTGCTGGTTCCAGGTGATACTGTACAACTGAGCATAGGTGACCGTGTCCCGAGCGACATCCGGCTAATAGAGGTGAGTGACACTTGAAACACGCTGGTTTCATGATAATTCATTTGTTTGATTTAAGTTAGTGTTTAATTTGATGTATATTATTTATATCTAGCATTTTGTATTATAATTATTTATGAATAATTATGATGATTTATATTACCATTAATATTGTCATGGTCACCATCCTCATCATCATTTTCATCATAGACATGTTTGTTCTGTCGTGAACACAAACTACTGCATTTTCCTGAAGTGATATTAAAGGCTATGTTATGATCAGTTCCTCTCTGATATTCCATAACCCCAAAAAATACCAATATCTCCCCATTCACAATAATACCTTCTATTTTCAGGCTGTGGACTTAGCTATAGATGAGTCCAGCTTCACTGGCGAGACCAAGCAGAGTAGCAAAACAGAGTTAACACAACCAGTAGGTGGTAATGGACACCACACCACTAAGAAAAATATTGCCTATATGGGAACCCTTGTTCGATGTGGTAGGGGAAAGGTACTGTATATGTATAAAATATAAATTTGTTTATTTATAGTATATTTTTTGTTACTGATTTTTTTTACTTCCGTGTCTTGCTTGAAATAATACTTGTACAGTGTTTGTGGCAAAGACAAGCCAAACCAGTCACTTGTCGCATAAATTAATTTTTAGTTATTAATACAAGGTTTGAGATTAAAATGAGAGTTATAAAATGGTAAAAAAAATCATTTAAATCCGATATTTCCTTATGAAGTTACAAGTGTTTCAACCTACAGCTGTTTAAAGAACAATATTTGAGCAATCAGCCTTTAAAGTTTATGTTTTCGGGCATTTCTTAGGAAGAAACCATCACCAACTTTTTTTAAAAATTGTTGTTTTAACATTGAAATTGGGGAAAATAACAGTTATCATGATGTATAGAAGGTTAGATTAGTGTAATAAAATAGATTTAAAAAATTTTGACATTTCAGCATGTTTTGGCCATTATCTCTGAAACACGATTTGTGACGAGTGACTGGTTTGCCACATTTGTTGAATAAGAATAATGTTTATCCCTACCTGACATGTTATCGTACTGAATGCTCAGTACGTTACCAAATACTTGGAAAAAGAAAATCATGCAAGTGATGCGAGTGGCAATCAAACCCACCTAATGTATCATGTAACACCATCTAGTGAGCCTGATATGGAAATCAATAATCATGGGTTTAAAGTCTTAGTAATCTTATCTAGAAAATACAGTACATTGCATAATTTCAATAATTATAACCATAACATGGAGTGTAGCAGCAAAAATAAATCAATTCTTTATCTTTGATTTTTTTTTTTTTTTTTTGTAGGGCATTGTCATTGGTACGGGAGAGAACTCTAAATTCGGTGAAGTGTTTAAAATGATGCAAGCTGAAGAGGTAAAAATCCATTGATGTCCTGAATATGAAACCCAATGTTAGACCCTTCAGAGATATACCGTATTTATTCAAATAGATGCCCCATCCAGATCCTCATTTGAAATAAATGCCTCCCTCAAATAGATGACTGCGGCATTTATTATTTCCTTGATTAAATGCACCCCCAGGGGCGGATCCAGCCTCGCAAAAAAGAGGGGGAGTGGATGTGCGAACTAAGTGGAAATGTCAGGAAAGAGCCTCTGGTAGGGATGCAAGGGAGTTAATCTCCCTTAAATCTTTAGCACCTTTAATTAGATGTTATATTTGATTGATTTTTGCTATTTTCCTTGGTAATTTTCTGATAAACTTTACACAATTCTTTTTTTACAAAAAATAGAGGGGGAGTACACCCCTTATGCCCCCCTCTAAATCTGCCACTGACCCCCCTCCCCAAAAAGAATGAATGTAGACATAACTAATAGAATCAACATCTATCTCAACCCATTCTCTTAATGTTCTACTCCAGTAGAATTACATTTCTTCTAACCTTTCTAACCTGGTTGCGATCAACTGCTCTCTGATCACGCAATAATGGTAATTATGTGTCGTACTTCAACATTAGAAATTAAAGGTCATTTGTACTATACGTATCCATTTTACTCCAAAAAAATGCCTCCCTAGCATTAATCCCTCCCTCAAATAGACACCCCCCCTCAAATAACCGTCTTCCCTTTCCCAAGCCAATATGGCAATGTCATCATAATTCGTGTAACACTACCATACACTCATAAATGAAAAGTATCTTACGTGACCAATCACATTATATTATTTGTAATGACAATTCTAGCCATGGAAGATGGATCAGCTTAAGATAGTACTCGTATTTTAATATCATTCTCTTTCTGTCCTGAGATGTGCAGCAATTATTATGGTTTGATTACTCTATGCGATTCTAATAACGCAAGATGTCTGTTGATTGACAGGGATAGTCTTTCATGTATTCCCTTGATACGCTTACTAATTATTTCGGTGATTTGACTCGGAGTTAATGGATTAAAATATAAGAGAGACATTGATGAAAAAAAATTCTAATATACAAACATGCATATACAAATTGCTTTTTCTGGTGATGTCTATAATACCTTAATGAATTATTGTTCAATGAATAAAGAGATTTTATTTTCAGGTAATCAATAAAATCATATACAGTATTTTAAACAGAAAAGTATTGAAATGCTTAAAGTGTAAGCAAAAAAATATCTTAAGCAAGGGATTGCCAAAATAATAAATCACTATCAATTTAGATCTCCAGTGTAACTGTAACTTATTACACCAGCTTAAAACACAAACATGCACAAATAAATACTATCTATAGTTATTGCATACCAAGGTCTCATAATTAATATTATCATGTAGAAATTTTACAGTATTTTTTGAAAAACTGACACAAAAAAAAAAAAAAAACATTTGAAAACCCAGTAAAAATAATGGAAATGGCTATCCCAGGTATTATATGTCCCTGCTAACTACCATGTTTTCATCCTCATTCCTTTTTCTTTTTTTCCCTCTAGGCTCCCAAGACACCACTGCAGAAGAGCATGGGTATCCTAGGCAAACAGCTATCTATCTATTCATTTGCCATTATTGGCTGCATCATGGTACTAGGTTGGCTACAGAAACGGCCGATGTGTAAAGTTTATAATAATAACAAATGTCTGATGTACTGCATATATTTCTTATATTACATCTCATCTAATTCAAATATAGTTTGTAGTATGTATGCATTATTTATATATGAACATAATTTATAATTTCAGTTTCCATCCATTTCATGATAAATTATTCTTCCTTGTATCTGCTCTCATGAATGTTGAAGATTATGCCTCTATGCTTTCAGTGGCAACTCTAGGACTGTCCAACAAGAGGTCTAAAAATTTATGGTGGAGGCCAGCAGAGCCACCAGGCCCCTGTGAGGGTCAAAAGTTAAAAATGTATTGGAGGTCCAAGAGAAATTGGGAAATTTTGGGCCATCTTAAGCTATTCTGAGACAAATTTGGATATATTCAGTTTAAATAATTGTTTTTAAAATTTTTTTTTGTCTGACAAGTTCTGTATATAAAATTGTATTCAATTTTAATGGTATATTTTGTGACGTTTTTCCTCTCTTGCAGCCTGGCTGTAGCAGCCATACCTGAGGGTCTACCTATAGTTGTGACTGTCACCCTAGCCTTAGGGGTAATGAGAATGGCCAAGAGAAATGCAATTGTAAAGAAACTTCCCATCGTTGAAACATTAGGTAAGTTGTGATTAAAAAAAACAACTGAAAGAACAAGTGCTCTACAATGAAAAGAATTTTTAGTGATTTCATAGAAGGCTAACTTGACCTACAAATATCTAAATTCTAATAATACCAATTTTAAATATTATTTTTCTTTTAAAAAAACAACAATTATTTTCAAAACTATCTATATGGTGTACAGGAAACATTTATATATTTTTTTCTATAGAACTAGTCTTGTCTGCTTCTAATAAGGTGAGCCTAAGGGGACCTGACCTTTTGGCCCTAAAACCCCTATGAGCATGTGTAGCATAGGAAGTGACCTGACCCTAAAAATTTTTTTTTAAATCATAAGAGGTCAGATGTAAGAAGAGCAACTTGTCCCTTGATGGAGTGATAATTATAAATTTAACCACACCCAAAATGACTCCATTCTTACTATATTTACAGGTTGTGTAAATGTGATATGTTCAGACAAGACAGGTACGCTCACCAAAAATGAAATGACTGTCACCTCAGTATATACGTCTGATAACTGCCATGCAGAGGTAAGGCTACACCCCCTCTGCCACCAGTGGGGGTGATGTACATATAATTGAATGTCTAATAAAAGATATCCAGTTGTGCCTTCACCACTAGAGGATATATGTGAATTAAGATGGAGAATGGAATGACTGGACAAAGACATTTTTTTTCCCAAAAATCAATGATCTTTATTTAAATTTCTTATCTTTGAATTAACATTTCATTACAGTACGTATGTTTATTACATCTTTTGTCGAAAAATTAAAAATAAATAAATAAAAATGAATAAATACATATTTTTTTATAGGTAACTGGTGTTGGTTACAACGGGAATGGCGATGTAATATACGACGGACAGGTCGTTAGGGGTTACAATAATTCTTCAATAGCTCGATTAGCCGAGGTAAGATAACATCCATAAACATTTTGAAATGTTGTATTTCATTTTATGATATAAGTATATTTATCCTACATAAGCAGTTTATTGATTTTTCATTTTTATGTCTTTGTAATATGTGAACTGTTCTGAAAAAAATAATTCTTAAAAGAAAATGAAAATTCAGTTATTGATATTATTTAGATCGATGACTATATAAGCTTTATTTTGTTCTTCAATCTGGTTGAGTACAACTTTAGTAAGATCATTTTGAAATTCAGATATATCTAAATTTGCATCTAAAGATAAACAACTGATAAATTTTGTGTTGGTTTTTCTATTAATTCTGGAAAGGAGCTTTACAAAAATGTGCCTCAAACCTCTTTAAGATATACAGGTCTCCCTCTAATTAAAGACCACTTTTGTGACCAGGTTTTCATGGTCTTTAGCAGCTTTGGTCTCTAGTTAGAATAATAAAGATAAAAGATATTTGTTAATTTGGGACCACAGAATAGTGGTCTTTAATTGGAGGTGGTCCTTAATTGCATTGGTCTTTCATTGGAGGGAGACCTGTATGTATTTTATAAACCTCTGTCTGCACTATCAAATTTTCTTTGACAAAAGACTGTTGTATGCCCATATATAGTCATGATGTGCCCATATATAGTCATGATGTGCCCATATATAGTCATGATGTGCCTATATATGGTCATGATGTGATGTCATCATGACCATATTTAGGCATGTCATGTTTTTATCAAAAATAATTTGATAGTCTGTGCAGGGCTTAATGCAGTCTTTGTTGTTTTACAGATTGCCACTGTGTGCAATAATGCTGAAATTCAACAGGGTAGTTTACTTGGCCAGCCAACTGAGGGCGCTCTCATATCATTTGCTCAAAAGGTATACCAAAAATTTTATGTATTAATGCAACCTTAATTATAAAAATATAACTTAGCAATATTTTCAAATACACAATTTGATTCAAGTTGTGAACACTATTTTAATCATTTCCTCGTATTTTTTATTCTCATAGTTGCGATTAAGTCATTTACGCGATGAGTACACTCGTATAGAAGAGAAGCCTTTCAGCTCGGAAACAAAAACAATGTCGGTGAAATGCATATCTATGATGCGACCTCAAGAGGGGTCGATGTACTTTGTAAAGGGGGCAATAGAGCAAATACTAAAAAATTGTACCTCATATAATTATAAAAATTATTCTAAAATGCTAACCAAAGAAGATAAGGAGAGGTTCCGTCGCCAGGCTAATTACCTTGGAAGCACAGGATTAAGAGGTAAGTTTTTCGAATCATAAAATTTACCCTTACTGAAATAAATATAATGTCCAATTTTATATGAAGAAAAGTAAATCATCAATAAATATAAATTGAATTGCATTGCTATCAAGCAAGAAATTGAGAATAAAGACCTTGAAATATATTCTACCTAAGCCTTAAGCTAAGAAAACAGTCATCACCACACCATATCAAAATCATAATGCTCACTTAAAGGACCTTGAATAAGAATTATATTGAATGAGAAATTACAAAAGCTTGGTGGTTAAGATGGTTGCTTTTCAATCCTATCTTATATCATATTATTAAAATATTCCTAAATAGAAAATGATAAAGATAAGAACATATTAAGGCTTTGAATATTATTATGAACAACCTTCATCATATTTCATATGTTCATTTTGTAAGTTCCAAAGTTTTTCAACCTTTGTTGCATTTTGAGTATTTTATATCAAATAAATAAAAAATAAAATAAATAGATAATTATTTTATGCACCCTGTTGGAAAACTATTTATTACATTATTTTACAGCATCTTATCAAGGTTCCCAGCATGATGCCTCCATAAACAAAATCATAACCAAATAAAATCCAAGTTTCAAAGTGATATCAGACAATGCAGAGGGCCATTGAGTGGTATATGATTATGGCATTGTAATTTTGAAGTGGGTCTTTAGTAGGCTATTTGAACGGCTTATAACAATCATAATGTATTTATAATACGTGAGGCTAATAGCACCTTATCAAGGGCTGCCCAACACCTGGTCAACTACTGTTTATATCATGTGACTTGTCTGTCTGATAGTTATACATAGATGTAGGGCTCCCTCTATTGTTTGCACTTTCCATAGTTTTCTGTTGATTATGCAAAGTATAGAAGGAGGTATGCTCATGATCAACAGAGATTATAATTCAGTGTAGAATATTATCAATCATGCAACACTTATGAGTTTAACTGGCTAAACCCAGGGGCCGACCATATCTGTTATGGTCGGCCCCTGGGGGCCCCGATTAATACCTCGTAATACGAAGTATTAATCGGTATTTTTTTGCCAGGACCTTGGGCCCTAGTTCTGCCGTGTCGGGCCTTGTAATGATCAAAGTGTGTTTGAAATACATCCTTGATTCGTCAAAAATGCCATTATCATTGTTATCATCATTAATCATCATCAACCTCACCACTATCATCATATCATTATCATCAACTCATCATTATCACCATCATCATCATGCACCCTCATGCTCACCACTACCATTGTCATCAATATTAATGTTATTGATATTAATTGTTGCATTAATTCATTATGGTTGTCATCACCAAAATTGTCCTCTTTATAATATATGTGATTTATAATTAAATCAAGTCCGATCAACTAAACCATTTTTGCAATTTTATATAATTAAAAGGTACGTATTTAAAATAATATATTTAATTTTCCATTTAATTATGTAGTATTATATTCATAACTATGCACTATACTATGTGTTTAGGATTCTCAAGCCATGTTTCATCAAAATGGCATAGTAATGAAAAAAATTAACAAGTCAAGTTATGCTTGATGGATTCAAAATTGACCAATTAACCACAGCTACAGGTCGTTATTAGAAAATCATCTACCCCTAAGAGAGATTACTTTGTTTCAAAGTCCAAACTCATTTGAAAAATCAAGTACATGCATAACGATCATAGCAACAGCAGATCACCCCAATTCAACGACTCAAGTACCCAATTCATAAAGCAATCCTGGAACCACTTAAAGTAAAGTGTGTATTTATAAACAATTCATAGATTATGAAGAGTGTGTTATAAATTAATTTACTAGATCAAAACAATCATAACAGATTTTGTGAAAGATTTATGTTATTTATATCCTGGTATATAGACACTTGTAATAAATCTTTGAAACACCCAACAAAAGAAACATCATTGAGATTTCATATTGCATTCTTATATTGGGGACCTATTGCATTCCTGTATTGATTCCTGATGGTGACATAATTAATGTCGAAATATTGAATTCCGACACGATGGCGTTCATTTCGATACTTTGAGTATGTATTATACTATCTTATCTGAGATTAATCAGTGGACCTTTCGGTTTTTATATTGGGGACATATTCGATCTTTTTATGTGTAAGCCGTGAATATTTTTAACATAATTGTGGAAACCCACCACCTGCCGAATGATAATTTCAAATATAAACAAAATCTAAATTTTGCCTTGTAATGGTTTTCCAATTGCATTAAAAATTTTGTTTTTTTTTTTATTATTATTACGTACATTCTGAGCTGCCATTGGTGGACCACACCAAAACTTTTATGTTACCAGTGCGCTTCCAAAGACCTACCTTTTTACAGATGATCAGTTTCGAGCTGTAAAAGACAAGGTCTTTTCTAGCCAAAGGTAGTTAGAAGGCTGCACACATAGGGTTTTTTAATTTATTTTTGCGGGCCACAAAAAAATCACTGTTAGGTGGCCTGCGAACCACACTTTGCAACCTGTGCTATAACACAAGTACTGTATTTCCATGCATGCTAGCAAACGTGTTAACAGACGTTTCACTAATACCATGACGACAGTCTTTTAGTACTGTATTGTACTTAAATTTCTTAAATGTAAGGACATTTGTAGTAAAATGTATGTAAAATGTTGAAAACTGATTTTTTTTTTTGTCCAGAGTTACCTAAAGTTGATTAAATATTTGTGGTTCTTTTAAATAAATAATTCAAATTTATATTTTAGTTTTGGGGGCTTTTATTGCTTTTTTGAAAACAGTTTGTAATAATACCGTGTTTATCTTATCTGTGGATCAAGATAGATGCTTTGTCTTTAAAGGCTGAATGTTTAAAGAATTACTTTTTTTGCTTTATTTTCCAGTGCTAGCCTTAGCCTTTGGTAGAGAATCAGATGAACTAACATACTGTGGGATGGTGGGTATAATAGACCCCCCGCGGCCAGCCGTCCGCGAGTCCATTGAGACGTTGATTGGCAGTGGCGTAGCAATTAAGATGGTGACGGGTGACTCAGAGGAAACGGCCACCGCCATTGGTATGTAATAAGAATAATATAGTTATTGTGTCACCTGTATCATTAAATACAAAATCAATCACTTGAGGTATTATACATTATATCGTGACCTCTAACCCGAACTTCCTGGGAGACCAATGCTAGGTTCCCATTTACGCTTCTGGGTGGAAAGAAGAAAGTAGATTTATAGACCTTTCCAGGTGTGAATCGAACTTTTCAACTGACCAATCAAAACAGTGTCGGGAATATGCACGTGTCCTACAAACATGTTTCACTAATGCATGTGTGTGTGTATGCTTTTAAACTGTCATTTTTGGGGACCTTGGCAACAATATCCAAGGGGCGGGGCTTAGCGGTAAGGTCCATTTCTTCTTCCAATGCCGCTCACATTGTGATTATTAATCCCATAATGTCAAAATTCTTAATACTAAAGCGATGAATATCTCTATTACATTGAATTTGATTGGTTGCCAACAGGCGTGGAAGATGATTAGTTTTTACAGCAACATTCTGTGTTGCTGTGGAGTTATAAATCAGATTGTACACTAAATAAATCATTAGTATTACAAGCAATTACTGGTAAGTTTTGAGCATGTTGTTGTAAAACAACTGACCCAAAATTACCATTAGTGTGTGAAAATATTTCCTAAAAGCAATTTTTTAGTTAACTAACCATGGCGCTACCAGGATTTCCCCGACGGGGGCTCAAGGTCCCCGACAGGGGGCTGATGTCCCCAGCGAGAAAAAAGTGGGCATGGTCAGGCTTTGCTAAAAAAACCTTTTGAAAGTGGTCCAGGGGACGTAGTCCCCCGAAAATAAGACAATTTAGGGGTTTCCAAAGGCTTATTTAATCGATTTTAGAGTCTTAATATGTACAAAATACATATAATTTTGTTTAATGTTTTTTTCTCCCCGACGAATTGTAGTTTTTCTTCCCTTCCCGACAAGGGGGAGCAAGGCCTCCCCGACTGGGGGGGGGGGGCTGTAGCTCTGAGTAGAGCCGCCAATGTTTACTAATGGCTGCTACTCGTCGGTGCACTTATTACTTTATTAGCCAATCAACATTTTTTCCCCAGACATAGAAATTACTGTGCTACATTAAAACATTGCTAGGTCTTCTGTGTCCCACAACCTTAACTTTTGACAGGTTTGGCTGGGCCTAGCCTTGTTGGGCCTAGAATATACTACAGTGCATTTTGCCAAGCACAGGGTTATACAGCAATTTTATTTATTTTTTTGGCCTTGAGTAACATACCGAAGTTCATTCGAAGTACATGACATACTTTCAATGGCTACCCCTGAACTTTACCATTTTTAAACAGTTTAAGGTTTTATGTTATGTTCCGATTTGTATATAATGTTACAGTGTTAACCTTTTTTCAATTTTACTGCCAACAAAAAAGCTTGTCTTACTTGGACAATAAATTTTATTTTATCTTCACTTAAAATTTCACTAGTGTTAGTTTTATAGATTGCATCAAATTGTTCATAAAATGTGGATCACGATGATCAAAAAATCCAAATCTGGATATATGATCGATAAAACTCCTGCAGAAGCATCACACCAGTTGGATCAAAGTTGCAGTTATCAATGTGCCATAAGTTAATAGCTACCACTTAAAATTAATTACACCTGCTAAACCACAACTATTCTATTTTTGTTGCAGGAAGTAGGCTTGGCCTCTATGCAGAAGGTTGTAAATCTTTATCAGGGGATGAGGTGGAAGATATGGAGATTATGGAGCTTTCAGAAATTATTAACCAGGTAAAGTCTGGACAGAAAGATTAGCATCAGATGTATTTATATCATGATAAACATAAAATAAAAATTTTGATTTGATGTAAGACTTTCCAAGACTAAATGTTTTAAAATGCTTCCAAATATTGCAAATATTGTTTAAACAGATGTATGCTTCCCCTTCTCTCTAAAAAATGTATAATCCCTACGCAGCCCACTGGAAATTTGCTAAGCAATAAAACTACACTTTAGTAGTTAAAAAGCATCACATATCGCTTTATCTTTCTCATTGGCCTAGTTCAGACTAGGTGGTTAAACCCGGCTCAACTCACTGGGCTTATCCACCTGCCAGTGGCTTATCTCAAGCCGGGCTGTGTTCCCATAGTAACTAGGCCTGGCGCGCCACCATGTTTAACTTTTCTAAGCCGAGCTTTAATCGTTGCGGGGGTCTTGCATTGACTTCGGGTGACAAAATGACCAATCAGCATTCAATTGCGTACACTGTGAGCAAGCGTACGTTTCGCGAGCAATGTTTTGAAACACGTTGCCTGGTTGCGGTTCATTATTATGCAAATTCTCGCCTGGCTAATCCCGCTAGTCTGAACGCCCGGCAAAGTTAAGCCGGGCTTAAAGGTAAGCCCGGCTTAACTCAAGCCCAACTTATCTCCAAGTCTGAACATAGCCATTACTCTCTCCATCTTTGCCTATCACCTCACCACACCCAACCCATGATACTCTACTGCCTGGTCATTGGAAACAGTTATCATACATGATGTGTAACTTCTTTTTGTCCCTGTAGAGAACTTCTAGCCATGCATGCAAATTCAGCATAGATATCATCAATAATCACTTTATTCAGAAAAGAAATAAAGAAATACATATACATAAAATCCTGCTCAATGTTCATTAGATAATAAAGGTATTAGCCAATTTCCAGTATAAATATTTGGCACCATCTAAAGGAAGGGAACTAAATGTGAATTAAAACACATTGTATCAAAAAGATAATTAAATCATTAAATTTTTCCTATATAAATTTTGAAAGTGAACTAAAAAAAAAAAACAAGCAACCTATGCTGGGAAAATAGCCATCACTGCATTGGTAGCCTGCAATTTACGGCACATAGGTAAAAGTCATACAAAAGACACATTACCAAACATTTAGAAAACTTAACATTCAGTATAAAACACACTCATCATATGAGGTACCAAATTATACTCATGTAGATTGAGAAAGACAAATGTAGGTAAAGTGCCTTGCCCAAAGATATAAACAAATGTACAGTGTGAGGTTTGAACCCATGATTTGAAACGACAGAATTATAACAGCTACACCAATCACTTCCACATATTCATATATGAAGCTATTTATATATAGGTACTTATAAAGTAAATTGTTAATATGGGCGATTTTTTTTTTTTTTTTGGTATTATGTCTTCTTCCAGATTTCAGTATTTTATAGAGTAAGTCCAAGTCACAAGTTAAAAATAATAAAGGTAAGAGAGTGATACAGTAATTAATTTTTAATTTAATTAAATTCCGTAATTAATATATTGTAAAGGATTGAATATTGTATGCAAATTGTTTAATACATCAATACTTATACTAAGATCGAGTCAATATCTGACCCTGTTCAATGGTGGACTTCCAGTTGGCTTTGTCCTCCATTACACTTTGAATTTCTAGAAAAATGTTTCTATAATTCTAAAACTCATTAATTTTTGATATCACATAATTTTTCCTAGGCCCTGCAACTGAACAATCTTGTTGTCGGTATGACCGGCGACGGGGTAAATGATGCTGTCGCACTTAAGACGGCTGATATCGGTATAGCAATGGGTCAGACGGGTACGGATGTGAGCAAAGAGGCAGCTGATATGATACTTGTTAACGATGACTTCTACACCATCATGTCGGCCATTGAAGAAGGCAAAGCAATATACTATAATATAAAGAACTTTGTTAGATTCCAATTAAGCACGTAAGTGTTTAAATATTTAAATTTCGGGGTCTACTTCATTAGTTTTGATGATACTCATTAGATATTTTAAAAAAAAATCTTTATTAATTTATTCTCAAATGACATCTGTGTTTACTAGGAGGTTAAATTATGATTTATTGGTTTAATAATTGATTGATTGATTGATTACTTCATTGGATGGTTCAGGATTGTAGGCTGGTTTTAGCCTGTGTGATTGTGAAAATTCAAAATTTAAAACTAAATCCCTATTCTAATGAAAACCCAGTGGTATTTTATATTTATAACCCACTTAGTCGGACCAATTTGCCACCATGGGTGGGGGGGTCCATTTGTCCACAGCACCCAACACCTGCGCCCCACACCCTATCCTACACCAATGTGATTGGTTGGCTGATTGATAACAAGGATTGATTGATTAATTAATTACTTGATTAGATGATTAGTTGGTATGAACTATTCCTTAATAGTCTGTGTTTCATAAAATTATTGAAAATGTCTTTTTTTCTTTCTTGCAGGAGTATTGCAGCTTTAACCCTTGTTGCCTTGTCAACTGTGCTCCACTTTCCCAACCCTTTGAATGCTATGCAGATTTTGTGGATTAACATTATAATGGATGGCCCACCAGCTCAAAGGTATTGCTCTTTCGAGTTCATTATTTAAATGTATATGATTCAGAGTTGTTGTTTTTTTAAACTCTGTTATTAACATTCATGATGGTATTATGACTAGTCCAGGGGAACCTAAGCCTCCCTAGATCTTCTTTGTTAGTCTAGGCCATAGGCAGGACTATATATTGAGGCCTAGGCTAGAAATGCCTGTCTTATCTGAATTATGCATTCTCACTATTCAATTATTTGAATTTTCTGGTCCTTTGTGTTACAAGCTCATCTACCAAACCCAATTTTATGTTCAAATGAGTTTGCTTAAACCAGAGAATTATAGTATATATTCCAGATTCAGGGGACATATTTTTTAAAACAAAAATATCTATTTTTTTTGCTAGAAAGTTATAAGTAATACATCTTCTTTACTTGCCCTTTGTCTACTCATTTAAAACAGAACACAAAATGATATTGGTGTGTGTCTGTGTGTGTGTTCTTTGCGGGGTTAACTTAGTAAAGTAAGCACTCCTTCATATCATTGCTAACTGCTACCTTGGCCTAGCACAGGCCAAGGTATCGATCGTAAATTGTATGCTTTTAGCCATGTTTTATTGGTCTGTATCACTTAAGTGGTCGTTAAACTGGCTGAGTAAAACTGCCTGCAATACAGCATTCTTGAATGCTTTTGAAATGGTTCAACTGAAAAAAGAGCATGCATTTTTTTTATCATAGTTTGGCTATTATTATTGATTATAAATCTTATTGAATTTTTCTTGTTATTCATAATAATTTAGTTTAAAAAATATGTAATTTATATTCTAAAATGAACTAACCTTGGGCGGTGGGGGGATAGGGCAGAGGGAAGCATAGTATTCCAAAATAAGCTAATTTTCGATTTTAAATTGCATGTATCAGGGTCTATTTTCAACCATATTTTTTAAATATAAACATAAAACATAAGTTATTGATTGATTTATGTATAGTTGTGTACAGTATGTCATTGTACTATATTCTATACAGACGTTCATAATATGATGATACTTCGATTGGTGAATTAAAAAATTGATAGCAATACACAATTCATGATAAACTGTATCATTCTCTGATTGATTAATTGACAGTCTTGGGGTTGAACCCGTTGACAAAGATGTGATCCGTCAGCCACCAAGAAAAGTCAAGGAGCCGATGATAACACGCTCCCTTATCATCAACGTTCTCATCTCTGCCGCTATTATCGTCATGGGAACGCTCTTTGTATTTTGGAAAGAGGTGAGAAAAGCTACTTTTGCTTATAATTCTTCCTAGCTGTAGTATAATCTTTTTCATTAATTTAATTATGTATTGATTAAATATTATATTCCTTTATATAGATGATTATTTATTAATTATCTTTCACAGATGCAAGATAACAATATTACCCCTCGTGATACCACCATGACTTTCACATGCTTTGTATTATTTGACATGTTCAACGCCCTTAGCAGTAGGTCCCAGGTGAGCGATCGCAAAGGCTTAATGAATATTCATAACTTTATTTTGATTGATAGTGTGTAAAAAGCCCAACTCAGACAGCGTCGCACAATGTAGTCTATCGGTTGTTATTAAACATGTTTACTATTCTTTGACGCAACTATTTCTGATACAGACCTATCGCGTCAGCGTTTAACTCACACAGACCTGACGCAACAACAAATCGCATTAGGCTGTGTCGTACGATGCTGTCTGAGTTGGCATTAAGATGCCTGTGGGAGGAGTCAATAAAACGGATTGATTTTTTTATATAGTATGATTATTGATTTCAATTATTTATTTTCATATGATTATTGTAGATTTATTTGGTGATGACATCATATGTGAATTTAAATATATTTAATCCTAAGGAAGCATTTCTAACTTTATTTTGTTTTGTTAGTATAATTATAAATTTTAAATCAAATTTAGCATAACATTTATAATGCAAACAGTACAAAATTTATATATAAAGGTAATCTTGATAATATTTTATATTATTTTACCTGTCTTGTCATTGTCACATATGCAGGTGAAATCATCACATGACACTTGTTGGCAGTGTGAGTAGATCGTCGTTAAAAATGATCTATCGCGCGTCACTTCATGGATTTCGTAGAACTGCATTGGCCCAATGCTATCAGTACCTGCTCTTAGTATGTGCTGCACTTGATATTTCAAAATTGACATAAAACTCCCACTACCCATTGGTCATTCACTATATATTTATTAGGGGTCATTAACCCCTTGTCATATACTTTTATATATATGTGTTCAATACATTTCAGGTTGTTCACCTATATAAAACACCTTGGTATCTTGTCCTTAAACTTCTACCATTAAAAATTGTCCCCTTGTAATGGAATTGAGCTATAAACGATTAGGTCCGTGATTGCACTATGACACATCATATAGTGATGTATTGACCTTTTTGATTCTCACACACCCTGTATGATACTTAGTCATGATATTAATAGAGGGAGGGAAAACATTTGCCTGGGGTCAAATTAATCATTTCTTTATATGCCTTTAACGACATTCTCTTTAGTTCAAACATTTCAAATGTTTACTTCAGTATTCAGGTTTATTTATTCAAAAAATCACATTTATAAGAAACATACATTTGCCAATCCCTATTTCAATCCGATTTTTTATTCTTGGACCCGGACCAAAGCTCTAGTCGGCCCCTGGTTCTGCGAATTTCTTGTAGCTACTGCTGCCTTGCAGACATGTGGCAGCTTAGTTCGTTAGGACCTCTTATGGTGGCCTCTTGTGTTTGTAGCATGCTAGTGTAGTTGAATGGATAGGGATCCTTTACACAATGTAAATTGTGCTATGGCTTTCATTGCATCTCTCTTCATGACTAATGAAAGGCAATTGGCCGGCAGTGGAAAAAACCAATCTTGCGTAAAATATAGTTTGTGGTGCTATAGGCCTATCAAGTGATTGTAAAACTTATGATCATTTGGTCGAGTTTGCTAGGGATCATTTGCCTTGTTCACCCCACCCATCACTAATACAACCAGTAATGATTAGCATAATAATAATAATAAATATTTGCCAATCCACAAGGCCTTATAGGGGCTGGATTCACTACGGGTTTCTGTACTGTAAGGAGGATAAGAGGGTGATACTCCTCCTGGATGGGACGTAGCAAATAGCAAATTGCTGGCCATGTTTTTTTTCACTATAGTGCCTGGTAATGATCTTATGCCAGAAAAATGTTGAGATAATCTACAGGTGCTGCCCCCCCCCCTTTTTTTTCAGAGAATACTTTATATTCAATGTGACCTTTTGATGTATTGCCTGTTTATTTAAGCATGTAAACAAACCATGCAGGCATACTGTAGTTTAGGTTATACAGTCAATTATGCCATAGAATGTTTCGTTTTATTTTGTATTTATTGTCTGTTTTGTCTGTTGGCTCTGATTGTCAGTATGATTTATTAGTGTGCGCATGTCAAGATTATGATGTTGGTAAAAGTTCAGACATTTTTTTTAAAGATATTATCAATTTGTTGTTGCTAAATGTTTTCTGATTTTAGTTGTTGTTTTGAATTTCAAAATTTACTGGTAAAATCAGTCAGAATCAGAATCATATTTTATCTGTGCTTTTCTGAAATTACAATTTTAAACATTCACAAAAGCTAACAGACACATATGAATATATAATCAAAACAAATTACTAATATATTTATCTGACCCTCCTGCAGTTAACAATGAGTTTTTGAACAAACGTATGGAGTAAGGCAAAAATTAATTGAAAAGCCTTGAGGCTCTACGCATAGAGGTTCGAAGGCGCCATCGAGATCTTAAATAATTGTTTTCCATGTGTAGTGGGTCATTGGTCAGGGAATTTATTTTTCAATACAGTGTCACATGATGAAAGTCCAAGTTATTTTCTTGTAGCTTAGGAGAGACTCTTTGTATGTCTTACTTAGTGAACTTACCACCCGCCAACAATGATGATTTCAAATAAGAATAGAATTTTATTTCTGGTCAATTAGCGCACCCACCACCACGAAAAAATTGAAATTTCAGACAGAAATAACAGTTTTTTTTATTTTCATTATGCCCATTGCTGCCATGAAATCTTAAAAAATAAGATATGTATATTTCTTCCTAATCATATAAATTTAAAGCATTTAACCATCCCATTACTACATTGTTTACATTCACCAATAAAATTTTATTTCTATTTTCTCCTCTGCCTGGATGTCTTTGTTTAATGAAAAAGCAAAATGTTATTTTAAAAAATAAGTTTGCGATACAAGGTATAAACAAAGTCTTGTGTTACTTTTTCATCTCAACAGTTTCATCAACAATCATGTAACATTAAAAATTGAATTTATATATTTCCAGTTTTTTTTTTCATGATCTGATGTCCACAAGTTAAACCTATTATTTTATTAATTCTTTATACAGACCAAGTCAATCTTCACTGTTGGGTTTCTGACCAATCGGATGTTCCTGTATGCAGTAGGAGGGTCCATATTTGGTCAGCTGATGGTTGTGTACTTTCCTCCACTGCAGAGGGTCTTCCAAACAGAGGCACTCACCCTGTATGGTACGTATTTTGAAGTTATTGTGGTTTGTGTTGACCTCATGGTTTCATATTTCAAGTAGTATAGATATGTGGATTTGGTAACTCTTTTCAACAGGTTTACCCTTTTAGTTGCCTGTTTTCACTTTAAAGTGAGAGGCAACTTGATGTTGTTTACCTAAGTATCAGTCAGATTGAGATCAGCAATAGGGGGATGGTGGCACGGTTCTGTCAGGGAGAAAAAATAATTTGTATGTAACTTTTTCAAACGATAAGGCTCTAAAATTTATTATACAAGATTTTCAAATGCCTAAGTTGTCAGGTGAAAACACTCCAAGGGGTTCAGAGAGGCCCTGGCGCCATCCATTTATGGCCACTCCCTCCCCCAGGCCTGGAAAAAATATGTTTGTGCCTCCGACCATAAAAAATGTCTCAATAAAAATCCTTCAGCACCAAATGTTATCTGTAAACTATATAGTTTATTTTTAAAATTTTTTTTCCCCCAAAATATACCTTTGGGATATTAATGATGCCTCTGATCGCCAGTCGCGCAGTCGCACATTTTTTCCAGATCTGCCCTCCCCATCTCCCCATGTTGGGAAAATCAGCCTGGCACTACTTGTAATTGAGATTTCTAGATTTAAAACTACAGGGTTTTTTTTTTTGTTTTTTTTTTTTGAGCTGTAATTTACAATTTAAGCTTTTTGTCCCCAATATCAATCGATAATTAATTTCTTAAATTGAAGTAGTTATTTAAGGAATTATTATTTTATCTTTCATTACTTTAGATCTGGCCTTCTTACTTTGTTTAACTTCAACCGTTTTTTGGGTGTCGGAATTGAAAAAGCTTCTACAACGAAGACTGGACAAGCGATACCATCTTAACAAGCCGTACGAATTTGAATATGTATGAAGTACATCTTTGTCAATTTCATGTATATTATAAATATTATTTATTCAAGAAATTAATTGAGTTTCAAGTGACTGGATTGGAAGGCCAACCAAATTTGAAACTTGTTAGAGGGTGCAGTTGCTAATTTAATTAGTCCCACCTTTTCTTTTTTCTTTTTTTTTTTAAACAAATTTATTTTTGGACTCCATAGGTGAATTAAGCCACCAAAACTCTTAAAACAAAAGATTTTTACTCAAGTATGTTTTATTCCAAAAATTTATTAGGTCTTTACAATTGTGCATGTCATTTTTCGATAGGTCCGTTTTTGAAGATTTGGTTTGGTAAACATCGCATAGTTTGCAAAGTTGCAAAGTTTGAATTTTGTCCATTTTTTTGGTGCACATGAAGGCCAACTCGTAGAGCATCGTATGACACATCTCAATATGCAATTTGTTGTCACGTCAGGTCAGTTTGAGTTAAATGCTGACACGATAGTTTTGCATCGGTTGGGCATGCAGTGGCTCGGTAGAATATTAAACCTAAAGACTACTCTCTACGATAAATTGCATTGGGATTCTGTGTCGTACAACAGTGTCTGAGTTGGCCAAAACATGGTTATTTTAGAAATATATTTAGATACATCTAAAAATTGGTGTTATTTTGAATATTAGTGTTTTTATATGCTAAATGCATATTATTTAATATATTTGAGTTTACTTTATTTAATGTTTATTTTAAGCTGTTGCAATTCCAAAGACCTGCAGTGCATTTATGATGTTATTAATGCTGATTGTGTTGATAACATTGATAATGACAGTGATTATGATGGTGATAATTGATAATTCAAACTGAAATATAAATGATATTATTTTCATTCTTATCTGACAATGTTTATGAATCCACTTAGGGCCTTGGTTCTCACACCTTTTTTTGCATAACCCAAATCTTAATTTAATTAGATATTAGTGACTCTAGGCGACCAGCGATGGCATCAGCATTTTCTCATCCATCGTTCCCCGATAGATGGGTCACACCCATCTAAGTTTATATTTCTTGTCCCTTATTCTGGAAAATTGCATGAGCATAGTATGCAACATGGCAGGACACAGAAGGAGTATGTTAAAGTTTTAATGAACATGTACATTGTACATTTTTGAGGATGAGAATCATAATTTTACTGATTATAAAGATGATGAGGTGTTAGAGATTAACGATCGTTAAATTTATGTTAATAGTATTATCAATCTCGTGATGTGAAAGGCAATATTTTAGTATTTTGTTTCAGTATTTATTGATGTCTGAAACCACCAACAAATCAGCTTTCCCTTCCCCCTCCCTTTCCCTTCCCCTTCCCCTCCCTTTCCCTTCCCCTTCCCCTCCCTTTCCC